TGTACACAGTGAGGATGATAACAGTACGTATCTCATAGACTTGTAGTAAGAGTAAATGAAGTGATGTATGTAGATTCCTAAGTGCAGTGACTGGCGTACACCGAATGTTCAACAGACTAGCTGTTACCACTGTTATTGCTGGAATAGTCAGTCCTACTTAGGAATTGATGCCGAGTTAAATGTTGGAATGTCTGTAAAGGCCTTTTCAAGCTGCGTGGAACATACTAGGTGATTGGTATATGTTAGTCATCTCCCCAAAGAAATGCTAGCAGTTGAAATCCTGACTAAGTGACCCTTTCTGGTTCAGTTAGCAAAACTATATTATTTTGTTCTTTTTTCATAACTGAAAGGAGTCAGCTAGCTCTTAGAATTATCTTACATTCTGCAACAATTCCATGAATGCCAGAAATTCCCAAATATTTGAAAAGCATGGATCTCCATAATGGATGGATCCAGTTTCTCCCTTTCCCTATCCTTTTCTTTTATCCTATCTCCATCCTCACCTACTTTCCCCAGCCCCCACTTTACCAACCTCCCAAAAGTCTTCTAGCACTTGGATGTAGTAAAGATCTTAAAACAGAGCTTTATCCTGCTCTCTGAAATGTCGTGGACTGATCAGGCCATTCTCTGCCTCCTCAGTCCCTCTCATTCAATCCCACCCAGGCCTGTGAGTGCTGCCCCCACCAAAGCCCTTTATTCCCTCTTCTTCCCTCAACCCCTGAATTTATATTCCATCTAGATTGCTTACTGTACTCTGTAATCTGTCCCTCCTCCTGCCTCTGCCCTTGTCTCTCCTCCACCAGAATCATGTCTCCTTGCCCTCTCTCTGTGTACCTGTTGAAAACCTGCTTGGTAAACCCTTAATTTTGTGCAAAGGGGGGATGTGTGTATTTGTATAATCTTTCTAGTGAATTGTCAATATTAGATTTATAGTATGGTATATAAAAAAAGACTTAAAACATGTAAGACACACGTTCCTATGCTGTTTGATATTACACGCATCTCTGTATTATAACTAATCAGAGGTAATAATGGCTGATTTTTGGGGGGCATGTGCCACATGCCAGGCACTATTTTGAGCACCTTACATTTAATTCCCATCATTTCTACCCTCAAGAGGATTATTAGTATTATTCCAAGATATATATCACTAAATTAGCTGTTATATTTTAAAATGTATGTCTACAATAGGAAATTTCATATTTATAAATATGTATGTAATCAAATATATGTATTTGATTAGTATATATGCACACACATACTTTTGCACACAAATATATGTATATCACTGTATAGTTATTCATTTGTGGAATTAGCAAAACATACAGGACTCAGGATCTAGCCTACACTTATCCAGTTTCATCTTCTTCCTCTCACACATCACATTTTATGTTTCATCTGCCAAATAAGCATAATTCTACCCTTGCAGAGTTCTGGTGAGGGTTAAATATGATATTGTGAAAAGGATTTGGGTCAGAGAAGGTCCTCAGTAAATGCCAGTGCTCCCTTCTGTGGCCTGTCTCTGCCTTAGCCAAGTCTACCTTATTTTTCACTGAGTCCATCATGCCTGATAGACTGAGGGCTTCCCATAATTCTTTCTAACCTCTGCATGAAAATCCAAATTCAGGATAATGGCTGTGTCTAGGGAAGAAGGGAAGAGGATTGGGGATTGGGTAGAGGGACGGGGATGAGAGAGAGAGGATGCATTCTATAATATTTCATTTCTTAACTCGGTGGGTATGTGGGTATTCTGTTAATCTAAACATTTTGATATATATCATTTGAAATATTTTATGATTTCAAAACAAAAGCCTAATACTTAGGTTTTACCACTGGACACTTCCCCTGAAAGCAGTTGAAATGAACAGGCAGCTGAATTCTATTTTTGCTGATCTCCAGAAGCAGAAAAAGAGTGTCTGGTGGAATGGGATTCTCAGTGGTGAGGTGAGGCTCTTTGGCCTCAGACGGAAGGTATCAGGGTACCTCCAGCTTATGAGGGAGATCAAACATGTGCATCCTATCTGTCGAGCTGATGGGATCTTTCTTCTGTGTTTTTCTGAACCTCTTCTCTGAGTGAACTTGAGCAATAACCAGAGCTGCATTTTATCTCTTTTAATATCTCAGCCCGAAATGCTGACATCCGCTGTAGGCATCATGAATTTTTCATGTGGTGGTGATGAGAAGGCTGCTAGGGCCTCATTCCACTTCACTGAACTGCTGTGACACTGTTTCCTTCATCGTATTTAGACATCTTTCCTTCCTGGGACGTTCCCCAGTCCAGACTCATGTTCTGTTTCATGAGTCCCATTGCTCTCATGCTGGTATGAAGGGTGTGTTTGAGAGAGAAATATTTTTAAATTTCATCTCAATTATTGAACAACCTAGGAGATTGAAGAAGAGAATGTATCTTAAATTCCTGAAAAGAAAATCAACAAATGCAAGTCAACAAATATTTACTGAGCCCTAGCTTCATAAGGCTAGCTCACTGAAAATACACAGTGGTGTTTGCTGGGTGAGAGTGCAGAGGTAAGCCAGACGTAATCCCTGCTTCTTGTGGTCTGGTGGCAGGGAAAGATCTGTAGTCATACGAATATGATATGATGTAGTAGAAGATGTTGCAGTAGAGGTACAGAGAATTATGGGCAAGGAAGGATCATTGCCAACTGAGGAAAGGCTTTATGAAGAAGATGATGATGTTTGAATTAAGCCTTTAAAGATATGATTTTATTAAATACTTATTTGTTCATTTATTCGTTCAATAAATATTATACATCTACTGTGGGCCTCCATACAAATTCATGCTTCCCTGTATCCACATCAGAGGAAGAGAGAGGTGGAGAGTTGAGTGGAGGCATCTGAAATGTTTCCATGTGCAAGTGATACACATCCCCTCCATTCACGTTTCCTTGGTCAGTGCAAGCCACATTCCACGTGTCATTACTTCAAGAGTGTGGGGATGTGCAATACTCCCCTCCATAAGCCTGCAAAGGTTGGGAACCTGGATGTCGGTTATCCATATCCATAATGTCTGCCCTAATAGTCACAGGATCTGATGCATATTTAACAGGATCACATTGGGTGCCGTGTTGATAATAGACTGTAGGGAAGCAAGAGCTGCAACAAAGAGACTCTTGCAGAAAGCTTTTGCAGTGAACAAGGCAAGAGATGATGTTGGGTAAGGTTGATAGCCATGGGGATTGTGAGGAGTTGTCAGATTTTGAATATGCTTTCAAGGGAGAGGCAACAGGATTTGCCAGTAAATTGCCTCTGGGACATAAGAAAGAGTAAAATCAAACATGACTTGATGGGTTTCAGCCTAAACAACTACAAGAATGTATTTGCCCTTAACTGGCTGAGATGGGGAACTGGAGAAAAAAGAGGGTTGGGGCAGAACATCAAAGGTTTGTTTCAAGCATGAGATTGAACATAGTTATTAGGCATCCAAGTGGCGATATTGCCTAGGTAGTTGATATATCTCTATATTTCAGGGGTCGGGTCTGGGCTGGAAATATTTGGGAGTTGTCAGTTCTAAAAATAGAAATTTTTTTCCATTGCCAACCTTCCTCTTTTTTTTTTTTTTTTTTGCTTGAGGGAGATTAGCCCTGACCTAACATCTGTTCCAGTCTTCCTCTATTTTATGTTGGTCACCATCTCAGCATGCTGATGAGTGGTAGGTCTGCACCTGGGATCTGAACCCGCGAACCTGGGCCGTTGCAGCGGAACATGCAGAACTTAACCACTATGCCATGGGGCCAGCCCCAAAATAGAAGTTTTTTAAAGCCATAAGACTAGGTGAGATCCCAAAGAGAGTGAGCATACATAGAGAAGAATAAAGGCCCAGAGACTGAGGCCCAGGGCTCTCCAACATGATGAGGTCAGGGAGTTTAAGAACCAGCAAAGACAATAGAGAGGAGCAGCCCTCAGATAGGAGGACAGTCAAGAGGGTATGGTGTCCTGGAAGCCAAGTAAATAAAGTGTTTCAGGGAGGTGGGAGTGGTTATTATTTATGGAACATTGTCTCTCCTGAGGAACTTTTGTATGCTTTGTATCATCAACACCACAATCTTGTAAGGTAAATATTAGTCTCATTTTACAGATCAGAAAACCAAAGCTCCAAGTGAGGAAATTTATTCACAGCTATTTTATTAACACCTCTTATGTGCCAGCTAGGATAGTAGGCATGGGAGTTAAACAACTGATAAGGTAGCAAACTTATAGGTGGTGAAACTAACTTCAAACCTAAATCCATCTGATCACGCCTGCGCAGTTTGCACCAAGAGATAGTGTGTGAAAAAGCATCTTAAAAATGCTATTCTTGGGGCCAGCCTGGTGGCGCAAGCGGTTAAGTGCGTGCGCTCCGCCGAGGTGGCCAGGGGTTCGCTGGTTCGGATCCCGGGCGCGCACCTACGCACTGCTTGTCAAGCCATGCTGTGGCGGTGTTCCATATAAAGTGGAGGAAGATGGGCACGGATGTTAGCCCAGGGCCAGTCTTCCTCAGCAAAAAAAAGAGGAGGATTGGCGGATGTTAGCGCAGGGCTGATCTCCTCACACACACACACAAAAAATGCTATTCTTCAGACCTGGGGCTCAGACACAATTAGAGGAAATTAAGATTAGTTGCAGAGAAAGAATGAACCCATGGATTTTTCTTTTGCATTCCAAGATTGATTTTCTGAGGAGAATGTTCTCCTTGTTCCCTGATAATCATAGTTTCTTAATTGCTTGAAAATGTCTTGGTAATTTGACACCTCAACCTATGGGGAGTCTGGATTAATTGGGATATAAGTGAGCTAAATACAGTGAAAGACAAAGGGGAAACCTTCTTTAACAGAGTGAGAACATTCAGCGCACTGCTAACCACCTTCTGGACATGTTCAGTAAATAATTGATGCTGTTTCTCTTTGCTTTCTTTTTGAGAGTTTCTCGGGATCAATCAGTGTTCAAAATAACTTGTCATTGTGGCAAATAATAACTCAGACTCCTTTCTTCTTCTTTTATAGATCATGTACAAAATGAAGAAAACTATGCACAAGTTCTTGATAAGTTTGGGAGTAATTTTTTAAGTCGAGACAACCCAGATCTTGGCACTGCTTTTGTCAAGTTTTCTACACTTACCAAGGAACTGTCTACACTGCTGAAAAATCTGGTAAGCCATTTCATAAGTGATTTTTAAAAATTACAGTCTGACCAAGGTATAATAAAATCATAGAGAGAACAATTTAATAATCCTCTCCTCAACCCTCTGTCCTGGGGGTATAAAAAAATAAAAAGAAAAAAGCTTTTCTGTCCCAGGTATGGAGTCACATTTAAAGAAAATATCATTGTGTGATTCCTAGAATTTGTACCCTGATAGCAGGGTAGATTTATTGAATCTGAGAGAAACTGGTTAACCTGAATTCTCTTCCACATTCTACCATTGTTTTGGTTTTTGTCTTTGCTTTAGATAACTTTGAGCAACTTTTGCCTTTTAATTACTTGAAAGAGTGATGATAATTTCTGTGTCAAACATACATTGGAAATACACATTGTGAATTTTACACCTCACACCTCGCTAGTGAAGATGATCATGCGTTTTGGGCTGATTTACAAATAATTAACCTCCCTCAACTCCCCACATCCTTTTAACCCCCAACCAAGAAAAAGATTTTCAGATTTGGGGAATCTGTGGTTTCCCCAAACCACAAGTAGATGACAAGAATCCCTAAAAATGTGGGACGCTAGGGGTGCTGACCCTAGAAGGCAGACACAAAGTTGGAGGGGGACACCTATATGCCAGGCAGTATTGTCTGGGCATCATCAGATTGTGCCCACCACCCTTTTGGTGGTTTATGCCATTGAATTAGTCTCACACAGTGATTACTAATATTAAAATAAAGGTTGAAAATAGAAATATGTCTCATTTTCAAAAACTTGAGAAAGGCTAATTTTGAACTTAAGACATACATGTTCCTACACTTTGGGGTTTATTTGACAAATCCACGATATTCCTTTAAATCTTAGGTTATTTAAATCTCCTTCATTCAGAAGGGGGCCCTCATTTCTCCTTCCTCTGGGTATTGCCTGCCTTTTTGCTGATGGGATTGCTCAAAGAGTGGTGTGAGAAGAAGGGAAGTGAAACAAGACTCTGACAGTTCACTTTGGTAACAACTGGTACATGACTTGCTCGGAGAGGAAGTTCTGTTTTCCCTGAGATAGGCGCTTTAGCAGGAATATCTTGCTAACCTTTAGCTTCCAGGAGACCAAGTGTATTTAGTGGAAGTCAAGAGTCATCACTTTCCTACACTGTAGGTTCCTTCCCACTGTGTGGATATATGCCATCCATGTAAGTCAGTGGCCACTCGAGCATCGTTCATTGTCTACATTGGCTTATCGAATACATTTGCTTACCTCCACACAAAAATGCTGATATTTATTGAATGCTTTGATGAACCTAGCATTGTGCTTTATGTGGATTATCTCATTTAACGACTTAGAACAATCCTATTGTTACTATACCTTTAATCCAGATGAGGAAACTGAGGCACACTGAGATTATGTGACTTTTTCAGACACACTTAGTGAGTAGACGTGGACCCAAACATTTTGTCTCTGAATCAGTCGTCTTTACCACCCTACTCTGTGCCACCTCTGTCACCTCATGCTTGGGTGGTTGTGTTTCCCTAACAAGAAGATGTGCTAATGTAGCGACTCCCCTAAACTACCCCAGGCTGCAGGCCTCCTTCTTCCATAGCTACTCTCCTTTAAGGAATAGAAGTCTAAGAAAGATCTGAAGGAAATTGCTGGAAGATCCAATTCAATTAATTTAAAAAAATAAAACCTTTTCCCTTTGGAGATAGTAGTGGCATTCCTGATGAGGGAGCAGTTAGAAGAATCCCTCTGTACTGTAGTTGATTACTTAAGGGAACACGGTTCTGATGGAATAAGAAGTCAGTCCCAGGAGTTTATACAGCCTGGGAACAGTCAGCAACTTGCTGCTTCCCTTTTTATGTTTTGCCAGGAAAGGGAAAAGCAAACCAGGCAGATTGATGGGGCCACGCCTTGGAGCAGAGGGCTCAGGGGAAGCCAAGGCCCCCCAGGGAGGGAGGAATTTCTGGGTCACCTTGCAGCACCTACAGAGCCTGGATGACGAGTTTGGGGGAGCGCCCCCCACGTTGAAGCTCTGGAACCAATCCTAAGGGAACAGTATTTCTCAGGAGATTCCTGAAAATCCTATTCTCTTAGGCTAGTGAAGGCTGGAAATATTAAGCAATAATGAATACAGCTGAAATTTAGAGAGTAAGATAAAAGGAGGTAGTTTGATATTTTTTAGACTTTCTAAATTATACCCCCAGTTCAACTAACAAATACCAAATGTCTTTTGTGTTCCAAGGGCTATGGTAAACACGGAAAAATGTCATTTTCCAATTAAGATATGACTTAGAAACAGGTATTATAAGTCTGTATTAAAATATTTCTTATTTTGGTGGAAGAAAAAAGAAAGTGTAGATTTTGGGGTCAGGTCTAGTTTTCTGCTTTTGACTAACTCTAGATAGACAAAACCTTTCATTATTTGTGTTATTTGTAAGCAGTAGGTATTGCACGCCTATTATGTTTAGGAGTTTCTGAAGGGTTGGTCTGGAGAAATATCGGCCCACTAAGTGATGGTGACGATCTCAGTCACCATGTAGATGTTCGCTTTTCTTTTTCTGAATGAACTTGCAGTGATTGTGGAAGTATCATGGGTTACATGAAAAATCCCGAGAGCTACACGGATGCTGGTGTTAACAGCAGCCAGGGCTGAGGCTGGTTCTTGTTAACCAGCTTCTAACTTGTAACAGGTATCTGAGCACTGCAGAGAGGGTTGCAGTCGTAGCTGGTTCCTCTGTGAGCTCATACTTGAGTCGATGCACCAAGTCAGGTGTAAAGTAATTTGCTCTTCTTACTGCCCATCCTCTCCACATACTAGAAAATAGTCTTTGTAAAACGTTGTCTTGTCTTGTAATATAGGATGAGAGAGGCTGTGAAATGTAGGCGGGGGGAGGAGTATCGGTTTCGGTCTGCATCAGACCTGGAATTCCAGCTCCCAATTTACTAGCTTTATAGCCTTAGGCAAATCACTTAACTTCTTTAATGCTAGATTTTCTTATCTGTAGAAAGAAATAATAATAGTATCTGTTTCTTGGTAGTGGTGGGACTTCATTGAGATCATGGAAGTAAATTACTAAGCACAGTACCTGCTTAATATTTACAAGGTTTTATTAATTGTTTACATCTTCTCATTGGATCTTTTTGGCAACTCCCAGTGTAAAGGCAGGTGTGGGTAGTCATATCTCATTTTACAGATATGTGCACCAAATCTCCAAAAAGTAATATGCCTGGGAAGTAGTGGAATTCGGGCTTGAGCTCACTTCCCTGCCTACAGATCAGCAATGCCACCCCACCAATTACAGAGTAATGACGTTGCCTTTGTAGGCTGTGTGGACGCTGACAGCCCACCTGACACAGCAACTGGAACCTGTACCAGTAGTCATCGAGTTCCTATTTGTGTTTAGCTTGCACAGTACTTTCTTGTCTACTTTTTCCCTTTGATTTCACTCATCAGTGACCTATAGTGTATTGGAAAGAGCGAGAGTGTTTGAGAGAGTCAAACTTTTGGTCTTAGGACTCCAGTCTTAAAAATTATTGAGGACACCAAAGAGTTTCTGTTTATGTGGACTATTTCTTTCCATATTCTGAGAAATTTTATAATCTATTAATTCATTTTGTTGCCATAGGTTGTTTTGGTTTAAATAGACAAAAAATACAGCCTCACACAGGTGTCTGTATATCGGGAAGAGAGAGGAGTACTTTAAGAGCCTTTTCAGGTAATTATCAGTATTCCTCTTTGATACTATATCAAAACTTGACAAATGGTAGTTTCTTAAAAGTTAGTAGCATGTGAATCTGAAACTATGTAAATGTTCTTTAAGGATTTGGAAGCTGTCAAACTCATGGCAACAGATACAAGTTTTCCAGAATTTTAACTTTTCTCTGAAAGCTCCAATTTTATCCTAAGCAACAAATACTGTCACTTGTTTACCTCGTAGTGACAGGCTTGCTTTATTCATTTTTGAGAAAACATTTACCCTAAACCAAATCTCGTTACCATAGTTTGTCAGTCATTCTTTCAAGGAAAAAAATGATGTTCCACTAAAAATATCACAAACAAAACCAGCTAGTTTAGCTTGGAACTCAGAAAATTGCATAAGTGCTTTTTCTCAAGATAACCATCGTATTTTGGTATGCCTTGGAAGTGCTTTATGCATACATCCTATTTCAGCAAACAAAATATTAAAAAGGTATACTCAAGAGCTGGTATGTAATAAAATCCATAATTTTGGCTATTTCATCATGGGCATTCTTAAATGAAGACAACCTTTTTTGTTTTGTTTTGTTTTTTTCTCTTTTGCTGAGGAAGATCAGCCCTGAGCTAACAACTATGCCAATCTTCCTCTATTTTGTATGTGGGTCGCCACCCCAACATGGGTGACGAGTTGTGTAGGTCTGCACCCAGGATCTGAATCTGTGAACCCAGGCCGCCGAAGTGGAGCATGCAGAACTTTAACCGCTCAGCCATGGGGCCGACCCCAACGTTTTCTTTTTTTACTGCAAGACCATGACTGTGAAGAATACAGTGACTACAGTTTGTGGCAATGCCTTGATTCACAGTAAGACACCAGCATTTTCGCCTCTGCTACTTTTGCACTGTCAGTGCAAATGTCAAAACAGTGAAAAAGTCAGATAAAACCTCCTAGCATTATTATGAAAATGCTTTTGACCTTGGGGACCTCTAGGAGTCTAGGGACCACACCTTGAGAACCACTGATGTCAGAAATCAAAGGCTCTGATGGGTTAACATTGCCTGGCTTATAAGCGTGAATTTCCTCACTGGGAGAATGAGGAAAAGTACCTTCCCCACCTACCCTATTGCTGTGTGAGGATCAAATCATATTGCCCACATGAGAAACTTTGTAAACTGCAAAGTCCCTGAGTCAAACACCGAGGATTGTTACTGTATTAGTAAACTACATTAATTGTAATACTGCTGTAGCATTAATAGCCACTACAGGGGACTTTATTTTTTTCTTATTATAAAAAGAACACATGCCTAGTGGCAAAATTTAGAAT